TTTGTTGAAGGCGGGTCGTCTCGCGTTTCTATACATCATGTGATCTACCAATTTTTATATTAAATTAAAATATCAATAAATACATAATAGTATAAATAATAATATAAAACATAATATAAACATTTAGATGTTATTAAGTAAAATATCATTCCATAATGTACAAGCATATAGGTTAGGTACATATCGTCGTACGCTGAAGCTATCTTTAATTATTATCTAATTCTGAATACAATGATTTATTAATACTATTTTTTTTACAATATTAAGATTAGGTACATAATAAAAGTGTTCAATTTTATAATTATTTATATCATTAAAAAGTATTTATTATGAATTTCAATATCTCAATATTTCCTATGATTATACGTATCTTAGAAAACATCAGATACCACCATAGTGTATTTTCTACTAAACATGACGGCAGTATAGATATGATGTGTCATTCATTTTTTTTTTACTTTTAAAAGTTGTTAAGAATTTCGTAAACTGTTAACTACATTATAATTTTTTGATATCATTAGTGTCCCTAACCCTTAAGAAAGAGTATCAATTTGCATAAGTCAATCCAATGGATGAGCAGTTTTTTTTTGTTTTTTTTGATTTGAAATTTTGAAATTTGAAGCTTCAAATTCAAAAAACTTTTGAGTCATACATTTTTTTTAACATTATTTCAATAATGTTACTGAAGGTCTGAAATTGATCGGATGTCATTTTTTTTTATTTTTTTTTTTTTGAGGGGGGGCTGTGCGAAGTTGCCCCTTATTAGAAAAAATAAGATTTTTCTAATTTTCATATTATTTAAAAATAATGGTGATAATTTAACAACGTGAAGTGGGAAAACTTCACAATTACAGTTACAGTTATATCATAACAAAAACAGTCACAGCTAACATATGATTCCAATTTTCAGCGCAAAATCACGAAGAAAAATCAAATGGCCAATTCACCATCACTGGCATTTCGTCCGATTATTTGTCTATTAGTTGTTAAAATTACAATGAAGTAAACAAAAATCGTCCTAATCGTCCTATACTCCAATAGTACGATATTAAATGCATCGAAAAACGATTTACTATTCGCTCGGTGTAAAAATGAACAGTTATATACTCTAATATACTGCTACGGTAAAGTAATATTTACAAAAAGATTATCTCGCAAACGATATTCAAAAACCAATTTATAGTTAAATTTGTTATTTTTAAACGAATAACATTATAATATTAGATGTAGATAGTGTTTTAGTAATTGAAACATTAACGGTTTGTATATAAAACACAAATAAATATTTATTATTACAAAAATAAAAATTTATTTGATATGAAAAAAGTTTAAATTTGACAGGTAAACTTAATTTGATTGAATAAAATTAATTTAATTTAGTTATTGTTAAAACGTCATACAAAATTGAAATGGCCAGTTGAGGACCGGGAATTGAGTGTGTCTAACGTACTTTATCCCCCTACTTCAACGTGATATACCATATTATACTTATTTAAGATTTAACAGTAATTTAATGAATACTATTAATAATAATTAGTACAGTCCGTATATTTACAATATAAACAAAATGGTAAATTTTGTTATCATTTTATCAAATCCTATCCATAATTTATATTTATTTAGTTTCTCCCCTTCCATTTTTACAGATAATTTGGCCCGTAACTAGAAATAACCATATTATGATTATATTCGCAAACTCTGCGAATACTGTGGTTATGGGACATGCTATGATTGTGTATAACCAACAGCCTGAAATTAAACCGATTAAATGTTGTCATCAGCCACCACATTCTGAAAATGTACCTATATGTACCTATAGTATATATTCGTGCGTAATTTCTCAAATTAGATGCTTCTGTTTCACTCCATTAGAATATAATAAATTATGTACAGTGACCTCCCAGATACTCCAAGTCAAAATTCCAACCAATTTTACACCATATTTTGTTTTTATACACAAACAACATCGAATGATTTTTTGTTAGAATTTTTCGTATTTTGAATTTTTAGCTTTTAACACTTCTGTGTCCTAATTATAAAAATATTCAACGTAATGGCAAACATTTTTTGAGTACTAATAAATAATATATTTTCAAGAACTACAATAAAATAAATCACTAAAATCTTTTTTTTATTATTGGAAAAATCAATTTAATCGAATGCGAACTTATAAAGCGCTAAAAAAAAATTCCAAGTATCCACGGTTATTCGATTTCGAATTACAACAATTAATAAATTTGGTCGAAAATGGATGTTAAGTAAATATTTAACTTTTGAAATTATTTTTAAAAATAGGTATTTAAGCTAAAAATAGAGTTTAAAATATATAAAAAGAGGTTAAATGTGACGAAAGACGCAAAAAACAAACAAATATAATATTATTGTAAGTCCAATATTATATACCTATTCTTAGCTCCACATAGAATCTAAAACAGAATATTAATATATTGTATTTAAATGTGGTAGTTTTTTAATAAAAAATACTCAATATTTTAACCTTTAAATTATTTTGGTTTTTGCATTAGTATTGTCCTTATCTTTTCGTATTTTATGAGTGAAACGACCACGGAGTATCACCTTCTGATATTTAAATAACAATCCAAGTATCTCCTAAAAATTTTTATTTTTTACAATCTCAAACTAAAATTTTATATTTTTTATCAATATTTTTCTTTAGGTATTTTAAGTTTAAATCAAAAATTATCAAATTATTAATGCAATACCTAATTACATTTTTAATTTATTGAAACAAAATATTTTTAATATCCATCAAAATTTAAAATAGCTTATACTTTACTGCAAGGTTCGGCAACCTTTTTAATGTAAGAAGCCAACAAATAAATATAAAAATTTTCACGGGCCACACATTTTAAACAAAAATGTAAAGTCATATCAAATTTAGTTTATTTAAGTTTATAACTGTTAAGTTTATTAATTTAATAAAATATCTACAAAAAAATAAAGTTTTAAACTATAGTTTACTGTCCATATTATATCAGTTCATGATTTTTATACAAATTATAAATTTTATTTGCGGTCCAAATAAAATTACAACAAGGTCAATTGGTTGCCTTTATTATAAACTAGCGTCATTCAAAAATGTAAATCTGTTGTATGAATTAAAAAAGTGCCTGACGACAGTGGCGCTGAAGTCAGTTTTTAGAGGTAGGTATTGCAAAGCATACCTGCAAAGCAAGACCCACCCGTCTACATTAGGTTGAGCGACTGCCCCTAAATTTTTTTCCACTCGTCTATCTATAATTTTAACAACCAAGAGTTATAAGTACATTTAAAGATTGCCAGCAGGCCCGTGTTAAGGGGGGTAGTAGAGTGTAGGTATATAAACCGGTAGCATAGTGGGCCGAAGCTCCCCCCCCCCTGGAAATCACTCAATTGTTACCTAGCGTTTAGGTTTATGGTTTATCCTAATTCATAATGTCCCCTATAATGATAAATAAAATAATTTATAACTTTCATAAATTAAAATAATTTTAGCCAGAGTGTTTCGTTGGCTTATTACACCCACGCATTGCAACTGCAATACCTGGACATAGGGATCGGCGCCACTGCCTATAGTTTTTTTTTTTTTAGTACAATATGCTTACCTTACATTTTTAATATCTTACGGAAAATACCGTGATGATATGTACTTATTATAGAATAAAATATATATATTTATGCATACTTTACGGTGTATCTAATCCGATTAAATATATACAACTAGATAGTTAAATGAGTACAGTAGGGTCTCTATAATCCGAACACTGCAGGCTAATCCGAACGGGCTTGAGAATTATCTTATCGCCATAATATGTACGTATATATGTATTTATAAATAATATTTTCCGGTAATAACATTTTTCAATTATGCGGGAGAAGGCATACCAATCCATGATGGGAACCAATGTACAAAAAAAAAAATCAATATTTTAAATAGTAAAGTTATTAATTTACTCATAATTATATTAATATTTTAATATTATATTCATTGCCTTTTGAAATTACGAGATTTTACACAATTAATACAAATAAAAATAAAATTTCATATTTTAAATTTTAAATTACAATAAAATTTATGTTTTTTAGTAAGCCATAGGTAATCCGAACAAATCGGTTATCCGAACAACCCCTTTCCCCAATCTCGTTTGGATTATCGAGACCCTACTGTACGCTTATATAATACGGGTATAAAATACTTAAACACTAAATGTATTACTAAATATACATTCATACCAAACAATAATAAGTATATGTATATTATGATGTACATAAAATTTTATGAAGTATAACTTTTTTGGAAGTTTGCATAATTGCCGTATAACGTCCAACGATATGTTATGTATTACATATGCACTATATACTATATACACGACATATGCTGTACTGTTTCTAAACATTAAGTTAGGTTAACGTGGGTGTTTCAATTGTGCGAATTTAAAAGTACTTTATACCGTAATTAGAGTGAATTTCGGTTTTTTTTTATTCATAATAAGTGTAAAATATAACATTGTGGCGTAGTTGTGCACTGCACGCAACCAATCTGAGTACTATGTATATTATTATAACAACCGCGTATGCTGAAAAACACTAATAATATTATTATTTTCGTATTATTTAAAATTTTAAAATAGTTAAACACAGAAATAATATATTTTATCTAAATTTATAATACAACTAGTTTCCTGAAACTGTGCATTCGTTTGAAGAGAGACGCACTTAGTGTTTAATGTACTGAACCTCTGCAACGGTGATTAGTTATTGTTATCACTGTCTAGCTTATCATACTTCCATGCTTGGTATATTATGTAGATTATTATGTATTGTATATATTATGTTAAGTTAAATATTATAAGAATAACTTGTATGAATTATCTTTATGTAATCAAATTCAGAACAAGTGATGAGTAAATAGCGTGTTAAATAATATATTCATTATAAATTATAAAAATCACAATATATTATCAGTGCAAACATTATTTGTTAATATGATTTATCCTATTTCAATACAATCCTTGGATCTCGGATATTTGATCATATTGATCAGATTGCCATGTACGTACATTTATAGGTTTCGTTAAACTGGAGCTTGTAAAGAACGACTTGTCACACACGTCGCACACGTATGGTCTTTCGCCAGAGTGTGTGCGTCGATGTTTTGTCAAATTGCTACTCTGGCTGAACGATTTGTCGCACACGTCGCACACGTATGGTCTTTCGCCAGAGTGTGTGCGTCGATGTTTTGTCAAATTGCTACTCTGGCTGAACGATTTGCCGCACGCGTCGCACCCGTATGGTTTTTCACCAGAGTGTGTGCGTCGATGTTTTGTCAAATGGCTTCTCTGGCTGAACGATTTGTCGCACACGTCGCACCCGTATGGTTTTTCGCCAGAGTGTGTGCGTCGATGTCTCGTCAAATTGCTACTTTGGTTGAACGATTTTTCACAGATATGACATGGATAATTCTTCATTTTTTTCGTCGGAGTAACGGAAGGCTGTTTCTATTTGTAAACAATTTATTTAATATCTATTTGTTTTTTCTTAAAACTATTTGGTAACTATATACTTCTCTGCTTATAATCGATTAGACTTTATTGACATCACCAGATTTTCAAGCCAGTATTTGATGCAGTATTTTGTTTACATTAAATAAAGTATAATATTATGCTTTTACGTATAATTARTAATTTATATTAAATTTTATAATAATAACTGATACCCGTGCACTTCATATTCCGTTAAAAATACCAACTATTTATGATTCAAAATTTGTGATTAATTTGGCGTTTAATACCTAATGTAGCTAGTGATGTTCAAAACTTATCGTGTGACAAATTCTCGTAGATTTACCCTATCTTAATCTCCATTAATGATTATTAACACAGTCATTTAAAATACAGACATCATCGTTATAGAAAGAAGTAAAAATCACGGTCTCATTCTAGACCCGACAATCAGTTGGGCTTGGGAAACAAATGACCCACAACAGAATAATGCAGTAAAAGAAGAAAAGAAAAGTATCTATAGGCCGTGCATTCCATGTTTTAAACAACAGTATAGCATCGCAAATTGGGAAGTTTTTGGACTTTGGTTTGGAGGTCGGGGTACAGCCTCAGGGTTCCTAAAGCCATTCTTCCGATCACAAAACCTTGCTATGCAGGAGCTTATCAAATTATGTATATCAGTTTTGAAGGATCACTATACATAATAAATTACCATCTATATTCATATAGTAAAATAAGTCCCTTTCGAATATGAATTTTATTAAATAGTTAATTGTAAAATTTAAAGATTGTCATAAACCCTAGCAGTGGCGGATTTGAGTGGGGTCCTGAAGGGCCTGGGCCCCCTTTGGCCACTAATATGTATAAAAATATAATTGTGACGTAAAATTTATAATCACGATTCACAAAAAAATCAGGTTTCTGATTTTGTTTTGATACTTAACATTTAATTATATTATACTTTATATTTGTAAGTCAACCGTGAAAACTGCTATAATGTAACGTCTTATCTTGTACTGATGTATAATAATATCCCCCCAACCCCAAAAAAAGAAACAAAAAAAATCCTAGGTCCACTACTGAACCCTAGCTATTATATGTTATAATACTATACCCACCATATTGTTAAAAATTACTATAAATTTTATTCTGTGCCTATGTTTTATGTATTGATTAGTATGCTGTGTCCATTGGCAACTCACATTTTCAGCAGCTCGCTTTTAATTAGTACTAATAAAAGTTGTTTCTCTCTAGTAGTTAATGTCGTTCATAACTTATATTAATACTTTATAAATTTATAATAAATTGTATATACCTTCTATGAATGACTGAGTGAGTCGAGTACATAATAAGTCTGATTTGATTAGGTAATTTGGAATTTATATTATAGGCACCTATAGTCAGTGGCGCCGACATCAGTTTTTAGAGGTATTGCAAAGCATACCTGCAAAGCAAGACCCACCCGTCTACATTAGGTTGAGCGACTGCCCCTCAATTTTTTTCCACTCATCTATCTATAATTTTAACAACCAAGAGTTATAAGTACATTTAAAGATTGCCAGCAGGCCCGTGTTAAGRGGGRTAGTAGAGTGTAGGTATATAAACCGGTAGCATAGTGGGCCGAAGCTCCCCCCCCCCCCCCCCCGGAAATTGTTAGCGTTTAGGTTTATGATTTATCCTAATTCATAATGTTAGCTATGATTATAAATAAAATAATTTATAACTTTCATATATTAAAATAATTTTAGCCAGTGTGTTTCGTAGGCTTATTACACCCACCCACCCTTAATAGGTATTGCAACTGCAATACCTGGACAGTGGACCGGGGATCGGCACCATTGCCTGATGATATGATTAATTTGTTTAATTTTTTAAACAAATAATTAGTCTTTATGCCTTTACTACCTCTTCAACGTAGGTACATAAAATCTGTGTAGTACAGTATTGCTTTAAAAAATAATCGAAAATAATAATAATTGATTTAAATTTCATAATAATAATTTGTATAATTATATAAACATACAAATTTTACAAAAACTTAAAGGTGTTTGATTTTTGATCTATTAATTTTTGATAATAGTATATAATTTTTTGTGGTTCAACTAGTTTTAAAATTACTTAGGAGAGTATATATATTTTCTTCAAGTAAACTTAATGTTAACCCGATAGGGTTTACTCATTTTCTTCAGGTAAACATAATCTATACCCGGTAGAGCTTAAATGTTTACTTCAAGTAAACATAATGTTTACTCACGAAAGTTTACCATCGGTAGAGTTTACTACTAACAATTCATTTTTATGTTAAGGAATCAAAAATTTAAAACATTATACTTTATAGTTTGTCGTTAATAATCAAAATCCAATCGGACACGTTTTACCAACAAATAATGCTATTTGTAAAGTGAACAAATAAATCAAATCAATATGAAATTTTAGAGTACCTTAACGTAATGGCATCTTAAACTTTATGAAAAGAAAATGTTTTAAAGTCATCAATGAAATTTATTACGACAGTAATTATACGTGTATTTTTGAGAATTTTTATATTCTTTTATCGGTTCATACTATGAAAATTGTCTTTAAATATATGTTTAAAACAATAAAACATAACACACAAGTGCAGAGTCCATCCTGTTCTCTCTCGTCGAGTACATTAATAATTTTGTTATWACTTATTAATTAATATTTGAGTTCGATAATATCGACCAACCACCAACGTACAAAAAAACTGTTTAGTTATCTAGTAGAATGGTATTGAAAAATAGAGACTAGTTTGATGAGTCAAGTGTCTGTCGTAGGTGAAAAATAAATATCGAGAGGTAAGTTAGGTTAGAGCCGAGGCAGATCTAGTGGGGGGTACTAGGGTGCTAAAACACCCCCCTTGGCTCATGTTGACCATTTTTTGTTTGATATGAAATCATTTTTAATTTAGATGGATAATAGATAATAAATAAATGTGTGCGTTCTTAAGACTGGTCCATGTAAAAGAATATGATTTATTTATATACTATTATATTTTTACGTAAATAAGTAAATGATTTAATTAAATCTGAAATGAAGAAACAAAATTTTTTTTCTAATATTGTGATTTGTATTGTTTTTAAATATTAAATGTCAAATTTTGATACCACAACAACTGACAAGTAATGTAGAAATGTTCCAATTTAACCTGTTTGATGAATGAGGATGAATTGTAATAGTANTCGAACTGACAAATTGAAATTTGAATAGTATTTACACCGTTTTTATCAGACTTAAGCTGACATTTTATCAAAGACCACCCCCCCCCCAAATGGATTCTAGATCCACCACTGGGTTAAAGAATTATATACCTTTGAAATACCTATCACTTCTGTTATCTAAAATTAAAATTTCCGTTTGAAAAATAAATTCTATTTCAATATCTTAACCATTAATTATTTATATAATATAATATAAAAGATGATATCATTCAATTTTAAATTGTGGAATCGAAAATTAAAAACATTCTAGGCTGTCATAAAAAAATCGTAAATCAATAGTACATGTTTTACCAACAATTAATGCTATACGTATTTTTTTGAAAAAAATAAAATTAATATGAAAATGTTTAAATGTATTTGAGTACATTCGAAACCTATTGGTATTATAATTATAAGTTATAACTTATAACTAATAATTATACACAATGTAATAATGGCAATAAATAGACAATAGTGAATAAAAAGAACAAAATATAATATTGAAAATATTCATAGTAAAAAAATATTTAAAAAAATACGTTTTCCGCAATCTTTAAAAATTTTTGAAAAACAAACTTATCATTATCTCTTGACACAATTAGGTCAACACGAAGCAGTTTTTAATGACTTGTAAATATTTTCTAGAGTTAAAATATCATTAAGATTACTCTACAGACGGAATTTGATCTGTATATATATATTATAGAATACCTACACAAAAGCAATTAAAATATTTAGGATTTAATGGAGGATATACCTACCTAAACATTAAACAGCCACGTGTTAGTATAAATAGCTCGAAAACTAATGTTTTCTTAAATCTCACAATATAAGATATTATTATAACGTTTTCAACAACAAGCGATCGGTTTAATAATATGTTTTTGTTTTCATTAATAATTCTTAATAAACAAAGATACTCGCACATATAACTGTATATTACGCAGGTTTGTAGTTTTGTAGGTTAGTATAGTTATTTGAGGGTTGTACAGAACCGAAGCTTTTGATAATTCTATGATATTATTTGTTGTTTTTAAAAATACTGTAGTCATTACAATCTTACCTACTTATTCGGCGCAAATAACACATCTTGATATTCATGGGGAGGGACTAGCTGGCCCCCAACCATAGGTACAATATTTTGAAACTGTTATGGCTTTTGAGTGATATGAATAAAATGTGAAATATATTTAGGCATCACTGTAAATTCATTTAACCGTTTGAAATAAAAATATTATATTATAATGTAGGTTGTAAAACTTTAAAGTTTAAACCAATTCATGTTACTTGTAATTCTTAATAAATAAATGTACCTACCTTTTAAATTAAAATAGAACAAAAATGTTGAATATTTATAGCCAACAAGAACAGAACTATTAGATTTTGAAAATCATAATTAGAATAGGTAATTTTTTAAACAAAGCTATTAAAAAGACTTATAAATCATATTAAGTACATAATATACCTAGTACATTTAAAACTTTAAAAACACAATGATGTTATTATGTATAACGGCTGTGAAAATTAGTTTATATAATATATATTATAGAAAATAGATTATTTCATAAATTATGATATAGGTACCTATTATGTGATTAATCATTTTCCTACTAGAAAAGACATTGAAGTTGAAAATCAATGCATTTTATCTGTTATAAATTGTGTGCATATTCACACAAAAATAAACACATTGTAAAATCAATATGTACCTACTATGTACATTCATTTTCACTTCACCCAGCTCAGATCAAAAATCGACGACAATTTTATGMGGGTACTAAATATCAGTGCTTTTTATCCATATTTTTGTTTTCAAAAGAACCGCCGGTCACAGAACAACCAACTATGTATATTCGAATATAATAATTAGGTAACGCATATTATTATGTATAATAATAATAATACTTTGACCACAGCTATTTTACAATTTCATGTCATCAAGCTGGATTACAGGTAAATTTTATACATATTATACCAGCACTGCCATATTGACGTATAACTGTATAAGCATAACAGTGCATGTTGGTTAACAACTGTAATAATATAGTGGGCATTTTCATGATTATACAAGATATTTAAATGAACTACTTTTTTGATAAGTCTCCTTTCAGTTTTATGCGAAATATCATTGGTGAGAGAAAGAGAGATATGTGGTTAAGTCGAAAAAATTTAAATTTAAATTTATTTAAAGCAACGATCTGATTTAATTGATAACTGTGTTGTATTGTACAGTTGTAGGTGTCGAGTGGTACTCTTCGTCATTCAGTAGTCACTGCAATGGATGTGTTAAAGAATATTGAGTATTTTTTTTTAGTTTTTCCAAATTACTTTGAAAAGTATACTAAGAACTTTCACTTTGATCGCTCAAAAGTACCGACTAGATAGAATTTTTACTAGAAGTTATCCTCAAAGATTTTGATTAAGTAATTTTTGATCTGTAAAAAGTGTACAAAGACTCGACAAAAAATTTATAAAAATATATTAATATTTGTATTTGCTATACAATAGCTGAATACCTACATTATATACCCAGTATATAAAATCCTATGCGGACATTATAAATGTTAAAATATTGCATATCATTATGTGATTATAATAATATGTTCATTGGCCGAAAGTAAAAATATATGTAATATTATCATTTATTTTATTATAGATCATCTCATATTAGGTATCATTTAATATTTGATATGATTTAGATATTATAATTTTAGTTTATTTAGTAAGAACTATCTGAATCTGATTATTTGAATATCTCTGTTCTGCTGTACAGAAAGTGTCGTGAGTACTTCGTCTGTGATTAGATTCCGTGATGGATGGATTAAATTGAAATTGCGTAAATCATTGAGCATTTACGATGAAGAAAAAATATTTCTAGGGAAGTTGGTCAACATTATTAGTACCCTACAAGATAGAAAATCAATTATTTTAATAATAATATACCTAAAAATCGTAGCAATTCAAATAAAAATACTATAATATTATATGTTTATCGACCAAGAATATATTAGTATAATTTATAATGTCGTCGTCTCTTATAATATAGATCAGGGATGACAAACCTTTTGAATACTGCGTGCCCAGAATTACATTTTCTCTTTCTTTTTTTTTTTAGAGCGTGCCATGAAAATTTTTTTTTAAATATTAAATATTGAAAGTATTAACTTATATTTTGTTATATTATAATTTGATTGTATAATTAATGTATTAGTATAAAAAGGTTAGTTTAGGTACATAATAATAATAATAATAATAATATATTATAGATATTATTTCATAATAGTTTATTATTATTATTATTATGAAATGTGATATTTAATCGATAAAAACGAAAATAAAAATGTGTTCGGAGGAACCATCCGATTATTATTATACTACGGATACGGCAATAATACACGATTGTGTAATATAATATCGTACGACTGTCTTGTTTAACCACCTCGCTCCCCTCCGAGGATGAACCACTCACTAAGTACGCACTAAAACAACTCTGTCGTATAATATATATATATATATATATATATATGTGTGTGTGTGTGTGTGAGTGTGTGTGTACATATTATAGAATTTACCAAAAACTGAGCCCTGTCCGGCGATCGGCAGCGTGCCGCTATAGTCAGTTGTGTGACAACTGCCATTCAGCACGTGTCAAGCGTACTTCTGCTCCGGTCCAAAGGTAAATAAGTGCATCACACGTCAACAACCATTTAGTATAATATGTTATATTATTGTAGCAATAAGTTTATATAATAATCGGATTTTGATTGAAATTTGATTTGATCTGATTTGTTTGTTTGTTTATTTATATTATTAAATACGTTAAACAATATTTTATTTTCCATCCCATACAGGTTATTAATTCAATTATTTTTTTTTGTTGGTCTGCTTATTAGTTTTTAGTCTGTGATCACTGACCACCACTACAGTTTAAAAGATTTCCACACAGTTCGATTTTCAATAGACAACAAACCAGAACGAGATGTGAGTATATCCCTTAATAGGTACACAATAATTATTATATTTAATTGATCAGTCGAGTATCAAATAAAAAGTCTATAGTACTTATAGAGTTATAGCACTCCATAGTGATCATCATTTTAGAAAATTAAGCAGCTGTTTAAGATAATATATAATGTATAAAAATTATTATTGCTTAAAATATACAAACAAATTTTTTAAATTTTTTTTCTTATAGCTGTAATATAATATACTGCGTGCTAACCATATACCTTATTATATTACGTACCTATTTGAGCAGTGATTTTATTTATTTAATTTTTTTTTTTTTTTTAATTTAAGCCACTTTCTATTTAAGAATAAAACATCAAAGAAAATATATTATATTAATAGCATTTGACTGATAATTGTGTTATTGAACTTAAATCGAACAAATATTATTCTTCTATTCAAAGCAATTTGTTATATTTTGTAATTTAATGATCATCTAATAATTATTTATTTAACATAATATGCGGGTTTCCTTCAGCAGTTTTTAACATTCTGTAAAATGGTTGTTACACGAATTTGAGCTTACAGGCAATAATTGTTGTTCGCATTTTAATATTTGTTGTATGGGACCTGTGCTTTTAAACTATTTTTTTCTGTATATTATATCATTGAACATTTAGATGATAAACATTTAATAATAAACAAATTAAAAAAAATTACTTACAAATTTAACTGAAAATAATAAATATACTATTCGAGTTTATATCTATCTATATTATATTTTATTTTTTAATCATCTATGCGACAATAATATTATTCAGAATAAATCATCGTTTCTGTATTTAGAAAAAACTTGAACCATTTTCACCAAAAGTGTGTACCTACATTCCATTATTCACCAGCGATGAAATATTGACCGACTACACATTTCCACTAAATGAAATATGCCTCTACAATATTAAAAGCTGTTAGGTTATTTAATGTACCATGAAATACTGAAAAACATCACCATTTTTATAAATTTATGATTAAATGCAATATACACATTATACCTACCCACTTGCGATATTGAATAAATTATTTTTAAATTGCAAGAAAAATATTATTCAGCATTCTTCCGTCTCAAAATTTATAAACTTTTATGAAAACTAATAATTAAAATATAATTAATTGACTTATCTATTATTGAAATATTTTATTATTATTCTAAATTATTGTGTCTAACAGCTTTTAATAGTATCTACTATTATTGAAATTGTTCCGATGTAAAATTATGTTAATGAAAATGGCCAAGTTGAAAATAATACTTTTGGCGGAAACTCTGAAAACGTGTTACACCCGTAAATATAGGTGATTACACCCTATATGGCTATATATATATATATTTACTGCAAATAATCACATAATCGTGGAAGACGGGGACGTTTTGTACATGTTTGTCACATTTAGAAACATTCTGTATTTTATGCATAATGTATTTACGTACCTATACATCGACGATTGTTATTGAAATAATTGTGAAAATCCAGTGTCATTGCATTTAATATAATATTACTACAAGTTAACAGCTTTTTTAAACTATTTAAGTACCTATTTAACGCTAAAATATTTTTTTTTGTTTTTTTGTTTAAATTATTTGATCTAAACTTGTACATTGATGATATAATTATCTCTAAATTAACGTCTTTGTAAACATTTCAATGTCAAAATCAATGATGTTTAATTTAAATCGATTTTTCATTCCATTTAATGTACAAATTTAATTTCCTCATACAGATTAGTTTTTTCTTATTGTACCAGCAGGACGAGTATAATATAATATTATATAATGTATCAAAAGAGTAGATGATTTTATTTTCAATGTTTGACAATTTAATATTTTAATTTATACTCTCCTTAACGATGGCAAAGCTTGAGTACATTTTCAACTCTGAAATATTAACTCACACAACAATATATAATACACACAAATTAAAATTATGATGGATCGAAATCACTGTACTGCTGCAACTATAGCGTTTTGAATTTAGATTATAGGTCGGTATCTCTTGGTAATGATATAATACCTAAATAAATAAAAATTCAMTACAATCTTTTTAATGTATTAGTTTCTACTAATCGCCTATTTTTTGATTTATTTTATAAATTTTTCTATGTATGTTGTATACAAGTATCTATACAAAAAATTACAATTTTCAAATGGCACATATATTTTTTATTTTTTATTCGACTAAAAAAAATATTATCGTGAAAATATTAATGTACAATAATACCACACAATATATATTATTATATAAATACCTTATTATATCGAACGTTTTTCCAAAATCCAAATATTTTTCTACTTATACATTTAAAATGTGAAAGCAAACTGGTAAGACTGCTTGTCTAGAGCTTAAAAATAATATAGTGAACTAGGTACTATATTATAGCTTCAGCTTACGAAATTTAAAATATGAATAAAAAATGTATTCATGTACACTGTAAACGGTTATTCACCTAACATGCTCAATACCATTGTTTTTTTAATAATGCATTTTTAATTCAGATTTTTGGAGTTTATGAGTAGCTATACCAATTTTTAACTACTTAAATTTTCATACCATTTATATTGTGCCCTGAGTTAATAAACGCTTTTTTTTTWAAATGAAAACCAACATTTTCTGTGTTATTAAAATGTATATATGTATAATAATGATACCTTCTAATAGTTTTAATTCATTAATAAACAAAAGATGGTGCTGATCATGCTTATTGATGAATCACTCTGTATATGAGAGATTTTATTTTTCTCAGAGATTCGAAAAAAATATTTATAATATATTAATATAGTTCAAGGGACCTAATATTTTTATAAGAATATCATATTTTATGCATGGTTGTTTTTGTTGTTTTAAATTGGTAATCCATTATTTTTAAAATATTCTAAAGTTACCTATTTACCTACATAAAATATATCAAGTACCTATAGAGTGAATATTATTTTATTTTATCAATTAAATTTAAAAATTTGAGTGATTTGGACAAATCACGTTGCAATATAATAGTATACTGCACATACGATACGTAGGCATCACTCACTTAAACTTTAAATAATTTATAACTTAAAATACAAAAGTTACAAAAACTATTCCTTTAATATTTAATAGGTACATGAATCTAAATGTTTAAACAAGTATACAGAGATTAAAACTGAAGATTGATTAAAAAAACCTTAAAAATCATCATTAATCACGTTGAAAATTAAATTGTTTTTATTTCTACAATTTAATTGCAAATATAGATACATATACATACAATATACCCATTTAAAAATCACAAAAATTAATTGAGAGTGACTGTAATTAAATAAATTGCCTTCTATTATCAGTATTATAATTATAATATATATATAATATAAAGTAGTCTGCCATGGTTGATACTTGCTGCGATTATATAATAATATGTAATCATCAATATAGTACAAACACGGGTGGTCAAACTAGTGCAGAGGGTACCTATAATATATTATCATCCTGCATGGACTTTCTTTTTAAACTTTTGTAAAAATATGTTTATCTACATATGATAAAAAAAATGAAAATCAGCCCACATCTCCACTGTCAGTTATACAATTATTATTTTATCCCATACATTTTGGTATCATAGGCATTATGCACACACCATATTATAATTTATAAATAAACGTATTATTATGTTATTAAATATTTTATGCACCGCAGATGTCCGACCAGCAGGGAGACGACGGCGGCGACGAGTGGAAAAAATCGCTGACCGGGCTCTCTGGGTCGGATAATCCGCAGTGTACGCCCAAGCAGATCAAAGAATTGACTCTAGACGAATTGCGCCGAGACGAGAGACTTTGGACGGCGTACGAGAGGGGCTGGTGTGATTTGTTGCAGTCTTACATGAACATGCAGCTGATGCAATCTGAAACTTCCTTTATGTTGCCTGAACTCACGCGGCCAGGGTATCTGGCACCCACGAGTGCTGCAGATTCTGGTGCAGCAGTGCAGGCCACCGCGGTGAACGCACGCGATCCGGATAATGCATCTTCGAGAGGCGATCCGGCGAAAGCATCGGCTGCAGCAGATGTGACGGACTCGTTGGAAAAGGCGAATGATGCACCGGACCCAGTGCGTTCGCTCGACATGGTAGCAATAAACGCAGCCGAGTTGACAAAGAAAAATTGTCTCCCTAGACGGATCGACGTTCGCGTTATCTCATCACGCATAAAACGGACTTACAAGTACGCTGACGTCCGCCTGTGTGAATTCCAAGGACTCGGGCCCCGCGCTGTGGTACAGCAGACTTCTCTGGATGTTGACAGTGATGATTCGGAAGTGATTGCTAAGCAGCTGTCCTCAATCAAGATCAAGATCACGACACCGGAAGCAACAGAGTTTGAACTCATTGATACGTTAGACGAAGACAATAACAATGAAAAGTCGAACGCCGACGACGAGTAGTTTTCGTTTGTTAAGAATGCAAACATTATACTTTTTATAAAATAATATTATAATAACCACTTATTCGTATAAATAGCATACTGTTGTAGGGTTTGGAAGTTGTAACATCATAATAGTTACATTTTACCATTTTGACGTGGAATGCCTATTAAAATTCTAAAATATGAGCTAAATAGCACTTAAACTGTGATATATGCAAATTAAATTACTTTTTGGAGAAAAAACTATTACAATTTTATACTTATTATTATTATTTTTTAATGATTTTAACTTTTGCGGTTATTATTGATTTTAGAATTGTTGTATATTTTTCCAGAATTATAGGTAATGTAACCAGATAATTTGACATCAGCTGTTGCCTAACCTAGCCTAACCTAACCGGATGTTCTCAACATTTTTATGTTAATTTAAATTTAAATCTTATAGACATATTAGATGCGTGACTCCATTATTATATTATATAATATGCATACAAATATCGTTTACAATTAAAAACATTAAATTAAATTTTTTTTTTTTAAATCACTGAATAAGAATAAAATCCCCGAAAAAGATAGAAAAATAAAATGTTATATATATATAACAGCATCTATGGGAAAGAGATTTGAATTGCATTTAGGATGCGTTTTAAGATTTCCCGAAAAAATATGCGAATGCTATAACTTCCGAGCTCTGAATTAATTATATTATTATTATATATTATTATTATCATAACAAGTAGAGTTTAGTAAACCTAGTGTCTTTTCATTATTACTATTATCATTATTATTATTATTAAAATAATTTATCCGAAACTGGGGTACATTTAATTATTTGATTTAATTATGTAATACTTATATATTCAAAGAATACAATTTTGTTTCTATTATATATTATTAATTATATTTAAAAATATTATAGCATATAAAGTGCACAGTACGCGTTACAGCTCACACGCGTACTTATTGCAAAGTGTAATAAATATTATGTGCCAGGAAAATTATTCAGATTTAATTAAAAATAAACAACACTATTATAATATTACATTGAAATGTATCTACTTGTTTAATAATTTTATTTAACCTACGAATATTATTGCTGTTGTGTTACGAGTGTTTTATAAGCAGATGGAAAATATATAATACTATAATACTATTATGATGATGGAACATGATAATAATATAATATTATGAGATTCATAAACACTTAACACTACAAAATTGAAGACCTTATGGCAATAACCAGACATGTCCTTCTATTTTTTATTCAGAAAACAAAAAAAATCATTATAAATTCAAAAAAAAATTTAGAATTTAAAAAAAAAATGGTAGATTTGTTAGTTTTAAGTTTCCTAAAACTTAAATCTACCATTTTTTTAAAAATTCTAAATTTTTTTTTCGAATTTATAATGATTTTTTTTTTGTTTTCTGAATAAAAAAAAAAAAAGAACATATCTGGTTATTGCCCTAAGGTCTTCATATTGTTTGTTTTATATAACATTATAATATAGGAATTTAACATTATTGAATTCGGAAAAAGGATAAAACTATATAAAGACGAAAATAGTTTTTTTAAATAAAAAAAACTGTACCTTTACCGGCTTCCTGCATAATAAATGTTTATAAAATCGTTGTGTACTCGCAAAAACGATGTCCATGAAAATGTTTGTGCATGTTGGTGGATCGGTATGTCTGTGAGCTTTGAAACAATCAATTCTACATATTCATTTTCCACTAAACAAATGTTTTCAGAAAATATGAGATATTTCACTCCCAGAAATTTGAAAAACAGTTTATTTTTGAACTTAAATGTTTACTATATAAATAGAGTTGTATTATTAAGAGTGGTTTCACAATAATAGTAGTGGGTAAAAAATTTCGTTATTCACTTATCAAAATGTCTATATATTATTTTACGCTAAAGTGTAATTTCCTTCGACGTAAAAATCTAAAAAATTTAATTTATTTCTAAGTACAAAATAAGGGTAGTTATAAGAACTAAGATAATTATAATTTAAATTATAAAACATGCTTTAGTCAATTATTTATTTCAAAATAAAATATGATACATGTATTTTTATTATTACTATTATTTTTCCGATCCCTCAAATGAAACATTTTTAACGATTGACTCAAACAATTTTACTTGATCACTAATAATTAAATAATTGGCGTGTATCATCATCGTTTAAAATGTGTTCTTTTTTAACTACCACTTACTGAAAAATTGTTTGTGTGTATGTACACTGTACGAATATGAAATTAGTCAATCGTTCATATTATTATTATTTTTTAGTCTTACAAGAACTAAGATAAATCTCACTTAAATCGTGTTCTAATTATTTTATTAGCTGCGCAAATCAATAATGTACTTCGATAAAAGCTGACACTACATCGTATCTGGTATGTCTACTGCAGTGTCTATCTCTATAGTGTCTAGTGTGCAGTGTCTATGCTGTCTACAGTAGGCAGTACATAACGAAAATAAATAAAAATCAAAAATTAATAATAATTAACTGTATAATATATTGAAATTGATGAAAATTATATGAAAAGTATAAATAACTTAAGAAATATAACTACTTATTTCATGGAATTTGAAAATAATAATTACGTTCTAATTAATTTTCTCCAAAAAAATATTGGTATCGTAAAAAATATACTACTAAACTTAAATAAGCGTTACAATTATTAAAATTTGCGCTACATTTTTATTTTTTAATACTGAAAATAAAAAACTTAAAAATTAATACATTTTTTGTTCGAAATACTCAATATAGCCAATTTGTAAATTTGATTTTTAGGAAAATTTATGTGGTAAAAACACTTAATTAAGTCAAAAGGCTGATTTTTAAAAAAAATTTTAAATATCAATATTTTCGTTAGGTAAATTATAGTAGTTTAAAGTTTATACATCACATATTA